GGTGGGGGAGTGGCGGGACTGGCTCAGGGCAAGCGAGGGGATGGAGGGGTAAGGGGCATGTCCAGGACGGGCCAGACCCGATTGCGGAGCCAGGACCCAGGCAGGGGGGTGTGTCCAGCAGCCCCTCCGGAGCCCAGGGGCAGGCTGAGCCGTCCGTCTGAAGAGGGCCGCAGCCAGGGCTCCGCTCCAGCAGCCCTGCACCAGCAGAGCCCGGCCGGCTCCTGAGCCCCGGCCCCCATCCTGGGCACCTGCTGCAGCCGCTGCGCCCCTCCTGGCCCGGTGCCTGGCTCCTGACTCAGCCCCCCGAGGCCTGTCCCGCCACATTCCGGGCACCCTGGCAAACACGGGGAGCACCGTCAGGCCCAGCCGCCCCAGGGGAGGGCGGGCAGAGACAGGGAGCTTTGCCAGATTCCGGCTGCCCACACTCCGCCCGCCCGGTGGCCGCGGTACCCATCACAGGTGGCATGGGGGTGGCACTCCGTCCACCAGGTTCAAGGGTTGTCCCTCTTCCCTCAGGGCCTGGTGTCACTGAACTTTGCCAAGGCACAGAGGACGCCACCCCATTGTTCAGACGGGGAAACTGAGGTGTGGACGGACTGCAGGCGGAGGAGGCCTGGCCAGGCTCCGTCTCGCTCTGCTCACCGCCGGCTGCCCTCGTGCCCCGGCCCTCCAGAAGGACCAAGGGCGTCCGGGCCAGCAGCCCGAGGCCTCCAGGGGCAGCGTCCTGGCTGGGAGTCGGGACGGGGAGCCCCTGGCAGATGGAACAGCCATCAGTACCCGGGGCAGGCGACAAGGGCCCTAAGACAGGGAGGGGCACAGATGTCAAGCTGTCCCCGCTGTCCCAGAGGACTGGTTCCCGGCTTGAGCTCAGGGCCACGGGGTGACACCCTCCGCACCCGTCCTCAGCCCAGGCTGCCCCTCAAGCCGGAGCGCAGCCTGGCCTGCATGACTCTCCTGGGTCGGCCCACATGCCGCCAGACAGCCCCCTGGTGACCTCTCAGGGCTCCGCCCGGCCAAGCCTCCGCGTGGGTCCCCCGCCTTCCGCCCTCAGCTTGGTGCTGCCTCCTCCAGGAAGCCTCCTGGAGCCCCCACAGTGGCACCTCTCACCCTCCTTCCTCTTTGTCATTTTTGGTCACCTGCACCGGGTGGGTCCACAGGGCAGGGAGTGGGCCACCTTGTTCACTGAGGAGCCGGGGGGCGCACAGCAGGTGTTCTGAGGTTGCCAGGGCAGGTGGGGGCCTGGGCTGGCTCAGCAGGGACGCCCCCTCCTGCAGCGGCGGTGCGCCCGGGGTGCTCGGGCCTGTCTCCCTTTAGAGCACACTCTGTGGGTGG